CATTAAGCTCAGCTTTCTCTTTCCCTAGACCAGGGACCATTAAATCTCTGGACAGCAAGGTGTGGAAGAGATAGCAAGTTACAGGTAGTCAGGTACAAATTCCAAGCTCCAGAAATACTGAGGAAATTGTTTTCAAAAGTACATTGTCTTGGTTCTTGTGTGTCTTCTCTTTTATTGTGCACTAGAGCTGTACGTACATAGGCAATCTGTAATTGCTGTTCAAGATCAATTCATTCTCTGGACAAGAGGTATTTTCTTAAGAGGATTTTTTGGCAGTAAAATTTTTATTAAATGCTTCACTATTCTGTCTCAATCTCACAGCTATGACCCATTGAAAGCCAGTCTCCTGGCAAATGTAATATTAAATACTATTAAGTATCTAATGGAAGCCTTTTCATGAATACAACTGAAATTACCTGGAATAAATTAATAAAGTAATTAATTTAATATCTTGGCAATGTTTTCAGCTTGGAAAGAATTGCAGCATGTATGACACATTTCATTCAAGTAAAATTTGCAGAAGTTGCAAATGTAAGTTAGGAAAAGAAAAGATACAGGAAGAAATAACATCTGTCAAGGACTGTGATTAAACAGTGACTTAAAATAATGTGATTCACTGTTTGGGCAATCTTATTATGAAAGCTCTAAGTCTTGGATCAATAAAATAAATTTTGGATAGATATTAATCTTTGGCTTTGACCTTAGAGTTACAAACAGCTACAGAACCAAGGTTATTGATGCCCATCCTAATCAGGCATTTCAGGCATCCGAATTTGAATGCTTAAAATTTGCTTCAAACCAAGGCAACTGTTTTTTGTTGGTTTTTTCTGCCATTTTTTTCTTAATGTCTATGTAGTTAAAGCTATGATTAATATGTTCCATTTGACTGCCCTTCTACTGGAAGTCATGAGTCCAGGGTGAATGGGCTACTGTTAAACTGTTTGATTTTTTTTTTCTTTCTTCCCTCCCTCCCCAAGAGAGTGGGAATAGTTTTGTTAAAACAGTGTGCTGTGAGAGTTTAATAAATAAGAATAGGAAGTCCCTCAAACAGTTACATGGTTCATGTTTTATTTCTAGAGTATGAATTCATCATGCAAACCTAAATGTTCAATTTTTCTTCTGTAAGCAAGTGTGAGGCTCTCTTAAGGTAGGGTTTTAATCTCCTCAGAGACAGGACTTGGGAGCTGTTGATGCCCAAGGTACAGCAATTTTGTTCACTGGTTTTATAGATGTGTGTGAGGTTCCTGTTGTTGCCCAACCCTGCTCCTCCTTGTCTCTTTGCCCAGGGGTGCAGTGCCTCTGTCTGGAGGAGCAGACTTTGAGCACAGCTCTCAGCTGGCCAAGGTGCCAGGCCCAGAGCCTTGGCTAGCTGGGATTTACTTCAGCAGGGCAGGATGCTCCTGATATTCCTGGCCTGCATCAGCTGCCCTGCGGAGGGGATCGTATGTGGCCCGAAGTTTAGAGTCCGACTAGCTGAGGGCGAAAGGCCGACGCCCCTCTGCAATTCCTGGCCAGC